AAAATATGTTTATTGCCACCACAAACAACAGAATGTACAATGATTTATAGAAATTGATGCATAAAAAAAGTTGTAGTTCGGGGTGTTCTGGATCCTAAACTAGGTTAAAATACTTACCTGTATTTCAGGACTCCAGGGTTTACACGTTTCGAGTTGGTCGATGTACGGAACACACACACACACACACAAACGAAAGCACCAGCGTTCGTTTGTGTGTGTGTGTGTGTGTCTGTCTGTGTGGGTGTGTGTCTGTGTGTGTGTGTGTCTGTGTGTGTATGTGCGTGTATGTGTGTATGTATGTGTGTGTGTGTGTGTGTGTAAAGTGAGTGTGACTATGGTTTATATGTTTGTATGAAGTGTGCGTCACTTAACAATAGTGATAAATGATTCTGTGTCTGTATATGATAGATTAATTAAATAATTATGGAAAGCAGATTTACACTTATATGACGTTTTGGAGAAAATATTAAATATTGTGTTCAACTTATTGTATAAATATGATGCAAGAGAGAGATTTTGTGGTCTGAGAAATTATGTTTTATGTTGAATGGGGGTCACAAATTAGTGGTATTGTCAATTGCCTCTATGGACTTGGATACATTTAACTATATAGACAAAATCTGAATAAAATAGATTATATTACAAGAAATTCACATTAAATTAACATTTATAATTCATTTTAACATCACGACACGACATGGTAATTAATTGACATCGAATTGTGACAGATGGCTCAATTATACGATAATTTATAAGGTGTGAGGTATTCAGACAGGCTATAAAAAGTGGACATCATAACCATGAACTAATCCAGTTCGAATTAATTAAATGACATGCTATCGAACCAATTGGTATGTTTGCAGAGTACATCCACACAGCTAAATTGTTACAAATTAATGGTAGCATGTTGAAACGCCGTAACTACGCATATACTTGTTTATTACTTCTTACTAAAGCCTAATTCAATGAAATAACTTCAAAATTAAAAAGCCTTGCCATGGTGATTTTGGGTATTTTTTTGTAAATCACTTTTTCTGTCGAAAAGCACTTTTTAGTGAAGTGGGTAGATAAAGACCATCGAAACTACTCAATAACTATATCACATTCGATAACCTTAATATGGTTACTTTTTATACACGTCACTTTGCATGGGAAAAAGTAATATTTTGCTATGGTTCATGACTCATGGACCAAAGCAAAATATGACTTTTGTATGTAGATAGGGAATTCAATCTCGGCTCGGAGATCTTGGCCTTTTTTAGCGAGATTGATCTCGGACGAAGAAAGGGCGAAATCTCGCGAGTCTAACGAGATTGCACTCGAGCATAAAAACGTCTTCTTCGAAGCGCGGACTGACACGGACGGAGTTGCGATCTGTCGGATTCGTTCGGTAGGAGGCGGCGGCCTGAGTTAGCGGTCGCGGGACGAAATGTCTCTCAGTAAAATTTTACCCAAGATAAAATTTTATTACTGAAAGATAAAGACTTGTTTGATATTAGAAGAGAAGACTGGTTGTTTCTTTTATTTGTTATTTGATAGATACGTACGTCAAAGTTTACTACTTAGAAGTTTATTAAAAAATTATAGACAGATTCTATACGTCAAACAATGTTTGATGCATAAAAGTCTATTGAAAAAAATCTTGAAAATAAATGATTATCATATAATACTTATAATTTTTATTTATTTTTCCTAATTTATTCAAATATTGTGATTATTTGTAAAATCTCGAAATTGGCGAGATCTTGCAGTATTGTTATTCATAAACTCATGGGATCTCGCTTGACCCCCAATCTCGCGAGATTTGCATTCGCTATATGTATATAATGTAGATGTCAATGCAAAGCGGTTGATCTGTAGATACTTTTTTTCCTTTCACTTAAAAATCGATTGATCGTTTTGAACTTTTGCAAACTTTCACAAATCGTAGTGGTAGGTTTCTTCACATGAAAATGTATACTTATATAAAAGTTTTGTTGTATTTGACACCTCAATTTTAATCATTCTGTTAAGTAAATTTTTGGTTATTTTGTGAAGCAAGAAGAAGAAAGACTTATGCTCTATTCAAATCAGTACTTACTGCGTTTACTTACAGCATATTGTATGTTTCTTTTTTATTTAAAATCTACATCATTCGACACTTGATTTGGATAAACTGACTACGATTTTGAACTGGTTGGATATCTGACAGCGAATTATTGTTTGGGTAAGTAAAGATAATTATTTCTTTGTGTAAAATTATAAAATTTGTGTAAAAACATGTGACATATTTGGCTCATACACTGCACAGGGTATCAGAGCAAGTGAGACTGGAATATCCATATAATAATATATATCAAATGTAAAAAAAATATATTTTTAAAGGCCCCAAATAGATTCAGAACTTTTAATAAAAAATACCCTGATTTACCGCTGCCTCCACAGCTAGTAATTATAAGATGGGAGACAGCATCGTACTACGCCAAACATTTCACTCTAATAAAAGACGTGCTTTCCCATTTAAACAGTTCAGAACCCTTGGAAAATTAAAAAAAAAAAAAACTTAGAAGAAAATGTAAACGAAATTATATTAATTATAAAATGATCCATACTGGAATTAGAAAAAAGTTGTCAGTGACACATCAGTGACGCATTTCATGCATTCATACATTCATGCATTCGATAATGTAAAAAAATGATTAAATTGGAAAGTATCTAAAAGTATAAATAAAAAAAATTGAGAAAGTTATGGAAAGGAATCCTTACTTAGAAATTATTCGCGATAATTCTGAAAAACTAGAAAAAGGGCTCGAAATAGATAACCATGACATAAAGTATTACAAATTTGCACCATAAACGTCTTCAGATATCGAACGATCTTTTTCAATTTATAAATGGATACTACATGTCAAAAGAAATAGACTAAGTGTCAAAAATATAGAAAAAATCACGGTGATCTATTTCGATTCCGCTAATCGTAGCCAACCTTCCGATGAACAATCGTTGGATATCGAAACTAAAGCAGTGGCACGCTATCATGACCATTTTAACGTTTGTCCACTCATCAAGTTTCCTATTAATTAATAACTAGGTTGAAGGAGCATATTGTGTACTGTATTGTGTTCGTCAAGTTTCGTATTAATTAATAACTAGGTTGAAAGAACATATTGCTGTACTTTATTGTATTCGTCAAGTTTCGTATTAATTAATAATTACGCATGTCAAGATATACTAGTGTAGCTTAGAAACTCTAGTCAAAAAAACTGGTTTGGCTTAAACAAACTAGTTTAACCTGATATTGGGTTTGCCAACATTATAGGTATTGTTTTAGATTGTTTATTGTTGGTTATTGCAAATTTGTTTACATTTGACTATTATACTACTTTCTGTTTTTTTTTTTTATAAAAATGAACTTTAAGTAGGTACCTATTAAATCGTCATAGTCCTAGAATAGTGTCGGATCTGACATTTATTAAACTTTACAGGGCAGCCATTTCCAATAATTATGTAATTTTTTGACAAAACTTCTGTAATTTTAAATATGAAAAAGGGTGTGTTTTTAAATGCAATCAAAATAACAACTAATAATTATACAATTTACTAGAAAAATCACATGCTTCATTTTACTTTGAGCGCCTATCAAACCAACGCTGAATAATTTAAAATCTAAAATACATATTTTTTTTTCTTGAATGTAGTACAAATATGGTAAACACTGAAGTTCGTATTTTTTTTCAAACCGACATTATACAACGATCATGATGAAATGATTGTTTCATTTCACATCAGATCACATCATCCTCGCCCACCGAGGGTTCTATACAAATTTGTGGGTACATATTATAAATAGTACAGGAGTCCTCTCGCAGTTTTCCCGAAATTAAGTTTTCTAAACTTATAATTACTTATATTATCGTGTGTAATAAGTGAAATTGTACCTTGATGATTCATTACGGACGTTAAATAATGGCTTTATTTTTATGATTTCATTATAAATGTATAGTTTTCAGATTTTTTCATGTACTTGTAGTACAAGACGATGTCACTTGTCAAATTTCATAATTCTAGTTCCACGGAAAATACCTTATATTTTTCTTTTAAATGTTAACTTAGAAGTTCTATTTTCAAGCTATTTTCAGTTCTATTTTCAGCTTCAAGGAACTGTAAACTTGAATATATGATTTAAATTTCAAATCAATACCTCCACGAATTCCCGAGATAAAGGGTCATGATAGACAGACGGACACGTGATCCTATAAGAGTTCCGTGTTTTTCCTTTTGAGGTACGAAACCCTAACGATTTAGAGGTCAAGAATGCGGGTTTCAATAATTTATCAAGATTTAGGCAGCTGGAAGACGGTTACCCATTTTTATACATAATAATAATTTGAATAGTAGGTACAAAATGCTTGACAGAACACTCTTGATTAGATGTGTTTAATTATAATTAATATTAGCTTATCGTTTTGGTCGTGTCTATATTCAACTAAATGATCGTATCTCTAATTTTAGAATTAATATTAAAAGGTATTATGTTAAGTTGTTAGATTTGAATTTTAGTAAGAAATTACAACATACGAGTTATAGAGTGGGTATTAGATTGATGATAGATTGTTCCTTATCGACATTTCACGGCAACGACGGGAAAAAATCCCTTTTACATTAATCTACATCATTAATAAAGTAGTTTAAATGATATTGAATACTAGGCGTTAAATATAATCCTTTAGAACATTATGGAAAACATCCAATTAGGCAGGTTACATGGTTCCCTGATTGTATGTGTACGTTCGTTCCTAGTGTTATTAGAAGTGGGTCAAATAAAAGTCTCTGTAAGAATTAATTCTACCAATCGCTAGTAAAGTTGCTATTTTCTTTGATAGACCATCAACAAAAAATAAATTTTAACACACTCCATCATCGAGTCCAATAAGAAAATTTTATGTCTCTGTATTTTAAAATGTTGGTCTATAAATATATATCCTATTGCACTTTCAACCGGGTTTACCAAGTTTACTCACCGAGTCCAAGCTGTCCATTAAATGGAACTCCAATTGTATTTCCATATCTAGTTCTTTGGCTGGATCGCTGACAGCAAACCTGTCGCAAACGCTCTTGATCGCATTGCGAGAGGCTGTCTCGAAGCCTGGAGTTATGGAAAGAACCTTGATGAAGTAGTCCGTGGGATTGTAGGTTATTGGGCAGTGGTAACCGAGACTGTGAACAAAAGCATAATGCAATAATTTTATTTAAAAATGCTGAACGTATGGTTTTTACTTAAATATGTTTATCACGGGAATATGTTGGATAACAATTTTAAACATAAATATAACTTTATATACAAGGTGTAAGGGACGTCGTAACGAATACTGAAATAGTGTATTCAGACCATGATTCAGATTTAAAAATTATTATAATTTTCTCCCGGAATAATCATCAATGTTATTTATAATTTTTTATGTTTTGGTTAAAAATTATGAAAAATGATATCACAATGAGTAAACAGAACATTTTACCGAAAACTTGTGTTAATGTGTGTAGACTGTTTGCACGGAATACACATGTACTTATTACTTTTGTGCGATACCTACGGGGAATGACCGTAACCTTTGACAGCTGATTGCATTAAAAGTTTATAAATCAGGCATGTGCGTGTAGAATTCTGTAGATTATTACTATCGTTTGAAACAAGTTCATTCGTGTATTCTTTTTTGAGGATTTTATTTTGTACGACCCAGTAGTTTCCATTTTAAAAGTTTTACAACTCATAACTTTCACTCCTGATATAACTAAAAATAAATAAATATAACTAAATTCGCGAGTCGACAGTGCGCAACTACTAGTATGAGTTCTCCTTGTTAAGACTACAAAACCCTTAAATCGTGATAAAATGGAAGCTGTATTTTCACCTGTTAATTTGCTACCATTATTATTTCCTTCAAATGTCAATGGAGCCAACTTCAAGAACAGAATTGAAAAATTATTGAATTATATTGCGTAATATACACCTAAAAAATATGTCGTAGTGACAACTGCCTACTTTTTATGTCTGATAAAAATGAAATACTGTACGTTGGTAAGCACATACGCACCGCAGGACCTAATCTTTGTTCAATACTAATTATTAGTTATCTTAAAATATTAAAAATCCTCGTATAAAATTTTAAGACGTATAACATGTTGAAAAGCTAGCTGGAAAATTGGTAACCTCGGGGAGAACAGGAAGCGTGGTTTTTTTCATGGAATTTGCACAAATCTGTTGAAATTTCAAAAGAACAACAGGACCCGGTTAACTATTTAATAATATAAATAATAATTTAATGTAATGCTCTCTAATACAAAACTAGAGCGACTGACTAAAGTTTCTATGAAACTACGTTTTTCATTAACGATTCTTTAAAAGAGATAAAACTCAACACGGGTAAAGGTATTATGTCTTTATAATAAATCAAGAGTTGCCTGAAAGAGATATTTATCTGATAGCAATAAGGCAGCCCTTTGTACATGTTTTCGCATTTAGATATTTATGGATTACATTACAGTAGTTTCAAAGATTGTAGACAGGCTGAATTTTAATTTTTAGGTTGCCGCGGCTTCTGACTGTAGATGAGTTCTGTAGATGAGTGGACTCTAAAATCACCTCGTGACAGTTATTGGTGTGGAAAGGTATTAAAGTCGGTAAGGTATAGGCCGAACATCGGATAGGGACAGGACATCTGTTTGATCTCTACTAATGAAACAGCGGTAATTTCAAATCCGTAATTATGTTTTATAAAAGCTCTTAGGTATTAGGTGAAACTTAATAAGTAATCATAAATTCTTTGTAACTGATCAGAGGTGTTTGAATGCTGAGAAGCAAAAAACTTCCTCATAAATCGGAGACAAGCGGCTGAAACTTCCTTCAAGCATCCAAAATTTTATTATGCACCTAAATATTTAAAAATATATTGCACCACTTGTTTGAGATCGTAAACTTCTATAAATCGTTTTAAAAAATCTATCAAGAAAATCACAGAGACATTAAAGAGATAGATACTATTGTAAGAGCGTTGCTAAGGCGGAAAGTTCTATTAGGGTCAGTTGACTAGCCTTCAACGAGAAGTAATTGTATTGGTTTTTTATTGGACTATTACTGATATAGGTACTACTTTATACGACTAGTCACATATAAAAACGTTCGTAGTCACATATACAAGCTGTCTTAGTATTTAAACATTTTTTCTGTTCTCAAGAAATAGTATAACCTAAAGATGAGATGTTTGTCGAATCTCGAGAATTATATATCGGTAAGTTTGGCATAATTAATATTATTTCACTGCTTGTATACATTGAACTGTCGTTGACTTCCCATACCCTGACAGGAGTAACGCTGGATACTTGTGACTTGATGTGGCAGTTTTCTCAGATTTTTGGTACGCGTCTCTCAAATGGAATAAAATTACCCCACTTTGCAATATTTTTCATTAATGCTCGATTTCTTATAGTCGTAGCGTGATGTTATATAGCCTATAGTCTTTCTCGCTAAATGGACTATCTAACACTAAAAGATTTTTTCAATTCGGACCAATGGCACCTGAGATAACCCTAAACATACAAACTCACAAACTTTACCTCTTTCTTTAATATTATTACAGAATGTTTCAATGTAGTCGCTTTCTATATTGCTACAAATAAACTAAAGGTATTCTAAATTAGTGTGAATTGAGATTGACTGGTTGTTCAATATTTCGACCGTTTTGAATGTCTTATTTTATTTTAGTAATCAGTATAAAACTTAATTTGCTTTTGTGCAGACTTTCGTGCTACCATTACAGAATCAGATGTGAATCTGTATATAAAGTTGAAAATTATGTAAAAACAAAAACAAAAGCAATATTAAGATAAAATTTTCAATTTTATCTAAATATTGCTTTAAACTTTTAGATTTTTACACATGTTCTACATAATACATTTTTATATATTTATTAGTATTAATGTATTTATATAGATATATAGATGTAATTATATAGATTCTTATACATTTATACACCAAAAATACGCATGAATTCATCTATCTACAGTCGATTTGTCCATCGAAAGGTCGCTTGTAAGAAATTGCTTTTTAGCGAAAAAGTCGCCGTCTGTACATGGTCGTTAATTTGATGTACTCTTGTATAATAATAATATAATAATAATAATATTCTACCACATACACACAACGCCATCTAGTCCCAAACTAAGCAGAGCTTGTACTATGGGTACTAGACAACTGATATAAATACATATATACTTTTTTTTTGTAAATACATACATATTATACATAGCAACACCCAGACCAAATCAAACATCAAATGTTCGTGCACACAAATGTTTGACTTGAGCGGGAATCGAACCCGCGACCTTTGGAATAGCAGTCCGTTACACAAACCACTACGCCATCCAGTCGTCGAATCGTATCGAATCGTATGTACAATGTACTAAACTTAAGAAGCCCAAAATTTTACATACCTAATTTCTCTTTTCACTTATTTTAAACTGTATGTTTAATAAATAGCATTCATTAAAATAAAACTAATTACGTTTATAGGAAGTTGACTTTGATGTCCAAAGTTCTAACCACAAATGCTATGTAACCAACATCAAGGAGCTAAAACTGCAGATATAATATATTGAATAATATTTCGGTAATCTGACACACAACGCCATCTAATTTCAAACTAAGCAGAGCTTGTACTATGAAAACTTCATTGACTGATACTGTAGTATTATACTGATAGTATAGAGTACTGATATACTTTTTTTTTGTTAACAACAAATACATACAACAAATATTTGCATATCATACAAACATTTGGTCCAACCCGGGAATCGAATTAGAGACCTTAGCACAGCAGTCGCATACTACCACTGCACCACCGAGGCGGTCTAGAGATATGACGTATTGAATTCACTTACCTTTCGAAGAACGTTAGAGCTTGGTTAGCAGTTCCTGCGAAGGCGACCCGACCTTCAGCCAGGAGAACTAATTTATCAAACTGGGCCATTAACTCCGTATTCGGTTGATGTATTGTACATATAACCGTTTTGCCCTGAGCAGCATTAGAACGGAGGAGACTCATCATCTGCTGAGCTGATGACGAATCCAGGCCGGTGGTGGGTTCATCACAGAATAGAAGGCCAGGGTCTGTTAGAAGCTGGAAGGAGAAAGTTAGATGTAATCCTTAAAGATAGTGTATACATAATTTTAATTTATTGTTGCTTTAAATCGGGAAAAAAAGTAAAACATAACTTAGATATGTTAATACATTATCACACAGTTGGGAAAAGCTGTCGTACATTGAAATGTTTTATTTAATAATTGTTTATCTATCTTCAAACATATTTACTATTAAGACAGACGGTTACAATGGTTAAACAAACTTGTTACATGTTTTTCTAAAAAAATATTCAAATAAATTTAAAAAAAATATAAACTAAAATAACGTTTACAGTCACTGCTGGATAAGGCCTTTCCATAGAAAGGAGGATTTGGCCTACTATTTTATTATTTTAATGCATCGTTACATTTTTAGGTAATTATTTCATAATTGTTATTATTTATTAGTTCGTAGATTCATTAAATCTACTAATCAGTTAAATATAGTGTGTACTACACGTATGTATCAATATCGATTTAGTAGCCTTAGCCGGATTATATACATTTAAGGCTTCGGCTACTAAGCTTATTACAAATTTTCGACAAAGGAACTCGAACAAGAATCTATAGCAATATAGAAATAAATGAAACATTGACTTTTATAAAAGCAAACTGTCAATAATCTTCGTTGTTCTTAGTATCAGAACAAGTACCCTGGTAACAAGATATGGTTATAAAATACAATTAGTAACAGTACTAAAACATTATAAAAATAAGATTTGTATTAGCTATGTCCATATATTTATTTTATACAATAATGTTATTTTAATGATTAATGTGATTTTATTCTAGTAGAATACCGATATTTTGACCGATGTCAGTCCCATTTCAATAGCGTATCAATGGAATTACAGTGACTTGGCGTTAATAAAATAGCAGAATTGAGGCCCTGGATAAGGGAAGGAACACTCGGACATAAACTCTATACTAACCCGTCTGGCTAGTGTGGCATAGAAGGCCAAAACCTCTTTTCTACTAACTAACTCTTTTCAAGCAGTCGACTATCAAAGGCTGTTGATGATAAGGATGGTGATGAATAATGTTATACCTATAAAATTATAAACATATTGTTACATAATATTTTTTTATTTATTGTTACCGAAACTGAACGTGTATTGAAATTTTCAGTAATATAGTAATACAAGATAAATCCTTTTAAAAAAAGTTGAACCGACTTCAAATATTACTAACAAAGAGCACTTAAACCTAGCAGCAATCAAATAACGATTTGCTGAGAGCAAATCAACCGCGGTTGAAGAGAATTTTGAAGAGTTCCGTTATCTGTATCCGAAACTCATCATCAGATCTATATGAAATTTAAATGGGACCATTCCCGAATAAACTTCGAACAAAAAAGAATTTTGAAAATCCTTCTATATATGACGGATCTCTGCCTGAATATCCATAAAAAAACATTCGAATTGATAACCTCCTCCTTTTTTTAAGTCGATTAAAAATTCAGTTGCAAGATTTGACCCGAAGAAGAAGTATCTACTTATAAAAATTGGAAATTAAATAAAAGCTTGTTAAAACCTACCTAACTCCTAAATTGTTTATAAAATTACCTAATCCTCGTATCAGATTTACAAAAAAAAAAAATTAATAAAACATTTTGCCGAGAATTGTGAAGCTATGGAAAAATGAGTGATGGTGACGGTTAAATAAATAAATTAGTTTCTACTCTGTCCACTTTTTGAAAAGACTATTGACAGCATGCAGCAATTAACAATTCTGATTGTTAATTAGCATTCGTTGGCTAAAATAAACACATAATGTGATTGCTTAACATAAACAGAACATTAATAAAGTATGCGTTAAAATTTGTAATTTTAATATAAGAGATGTAACCGCTTATGTGCTTCCAAATTAAAAACTTTTTTTGTTAAACGTTTTTCCGAAACGATCCTAATGATTTGTAATCGATATTAGCCTTGTCACTGTATTCATTATATAATTTAATCGTTCCGTAACGAAGCGAGTTGGAGCCAAGCAATGTTCTACACATTGTATTTTGTATTTTATTGTAACTCGTAGTGGAGTTCCTAAGAGTGTACCTATTTTCCAAATTAGAGTTGCCGTGAAACATGAATCGGCACTCTAAAGCGTATCATTTGTAACAGATCAGGGCAATTGAACACACATTTGAACAATTTGGACAAAAAGACCAATTCAGTTATATTCCTCCATAGACAGTTCCATCATCTTCATAATCGAACCTGATTTTATGTCCCACATTTCTCAGTGAGAATGGGGGATTCTCACTGTATGACAAATGACGAACAAATCTCTTTTGAATGCGCTCTATTGCTATATGAGAGAGTTGCAAGGTTAGTGAATTTGGACATAAATATTCAAACTGATAGCTCACATAAAAATAGTTTTATGGGTACACACTCTCACACTCACTAACATAAAAATAATTTTCTGAAATAATAATAATGATTATTCGTTGATATCAATTTACCTCTGTCGCAAAAGCCAGTCTCTTCCTTTCTCCTCCTGACAACGTTTTTTTACCATCTAGTCCGCCGATTTGTGTAAACCTGGATCTATACAGACACAGCTGTCGAAGTAGTTGATTCACTCTTCGTTTACGAGCTAAGTACGACGTTCTACTGTCCATGCGAAGTCGAGCCTGGAAAAAATTACATGTGATACATAGTAATATGTACTATTCAGTACCATATTTTTTCTTAATTTAAAATCATTACCATTATGGTGAGGTGTTCATTGACAGTTAAGTTGTTAACGAACAAATCATCTTGGTGCATGTAACCGCTCTCTTGGTGCATAAAGTCGCCTACAGGTGTTCCGTTCATAATAATATTGCCGTCTACTATAGTTCCAACTGTTAACAAAAAAAGTCAGTCATAATTATGAAATTAGTAGAATTCCATCAAGATATTTTTATGATTAAATATTATTAGAAAATGCGAGTGGCATAGAAAAGCAACTTCGATAACAAGAGTTTTGTATACTAATTTACTTAATACTAATACTTTAGTTTGAAATATTATGATCACAATATATTAAATAAATCCACGGCGAAATAAATTGCTTATAGAATTTAAATGACTCAAGATAAGATATATGATTAAAGCAACATTGATAGATGACTAATAACGAAACAAAATTAATAAATAAACTTTAATAGAGAAGAGAATTTTAGAGGTTATAGAAGATACCATTATCATATTATTTCCCATCATTTGACATTTGTGTCGAAAAAAACGAACACCAAAAGCAAAAAAAGTAGTTTGAAATCATAATTACGACAGTTATAAAAAAATAGTACTTAAGTCTAAAAATAAATGCTATAGCTACAATGTACAATGATGATTGTAGACAGCTTGCTACACAACTAGCGACTAAACAACTTCCCACTACTAGTTTCACCATATTTTTTTATATCATATTAACTTTTTCCTCATTTTTGCTATCTATCTATGGGTCTGAATTGGTCGTATATACCAGTTATCTTATCAATTTTCAACATGTCATCAAACTGTACATGTAATTATTATCTGTTGATACAATGTGTTACATGTAATTATTATCTTCAGACCTTACATTTCTGCAAAACTCTTTAGCTCTATTACAGCCCTAAATAAAAGCCTTTGATAACTTACTCTACCTATATACCTACTCGTATTAGCGAAATTGTTCTAATGAAGCTATTAAATCAACAGCTGAATTTGACATGTTTCTAGTAGGTTACTTACTTAAAGCATTGAAGCAGATCAAGGCTCAATCTAGCGATGTTTAATAGGATAAAGTAGAAGAGGCCTCAGGCATAAATAGGTTGATCTAACACAGAAACCTAATGACGTAAACTATAAAACAAGACAGTTGTGGTTCATTATACAATCCGATGAGTTGCCGTATTTGGAAAAATATTTCGAACTGTTAAAGGCCACTGTCCGAACTTCAACAGAGAGAGTTGTCAATTGACCAATATCCGATAACTGTCTTTAAAGTATGTATGTTTGTAAGTAGTAGCGAACAGCACCGCACAATAGTCGTTAAGAGGGTGGGCGTGAGACAGAAGGGCAGACGGACAAGGGCGAATGGGCGGCTATCGCCTCGGCCTGCGAAGGGGAACCCCTACTATTCGTCCAAACGTATCCAGTATCTTGGTTTAAGTATACATTACCTATTTTGTGTACATGATACGGTAAGGATAGATGTTATTCGTAGTTAAAGTATAAATTATCTACAGCAAAACGTACCTAAATTCGTTCGATGCTTTTGGAGTTTATCGCTTAGATTTCATTTTATAAAACTTAGTGAATAAATATAACCTCCAATATTGGTTCAAATGTATTATATATGTAGGCAATTAAGGCGCAGTGATAGACTAATGCTGTGCTTATTAAGTAAACACAACCTGTAAAAGTAAAATAGAATAGGGATTTATTTGACACGGTGAAATGCCTGCTAGAACTAAACTAACCTTTTCGCGTTACCACATTAAAGTCCTGTCTGTAATGTAGTAAAATCGATATGTACTTGTATATAAATATTACTTAGGGCAAAAACCTTGATGCCCGTTTCGACGCTCTGTCTCCATACAACATGGCACTGGCGTGGAGATGTGAGGTAATGAATGCTCATTTGTATCTGAGGGATTATAATACTCTATAGCAGATTTATTCGTTTTTCTTATCATATTCTGTTCCTATATTCATAACTTGAACTTACCTGGACTTCGGTGTGCTATTGCGGTCATAAGTGTGGTCTTCCCTGCACCACTGTAACAAATTTTTTTGTGTAATCATAACTCGTTTAAATATCACTTCAGTACACTGTCCTCAACTTGGAGGGCTTTAATCCGATCGACAAAAATGGCTTTCTTACAGGTACGGATTTAACGGCCGTAATAACAGTCAATGATTGATCTATTTTCTAACTCTTTAATACATATTGAATCAAATAAAATGTTTTTAAGTTTATAGTAATTTATGTAAGAGTAACAGTCAACGTAATTTATTTAATATGTGAGGTGAATCTAAACCGGTATTCAACTAAAACCAAACCGGATTGCAAAACGAGACAAATAGTAAAAGATTTAACTGTAGTACTCGCTACTATTGGTTAAAAATAAAACCAGTCAAGGTTTTATAAGGCCACAAGGAATAAACTTCAATGAGGTAGAATCAACAGTTAAGTAGTTGATCTAATTAGGACTTTTTGAAGAATAAATAACAACTGAATGCATTTTATCCGTCATCGTCTTTTAAACGAACGTAGTTCCAAGAGGAACAAAGTTTAAGTCGAATACGTCAGGATATGATAGGATAGGTCGTTCCACAAAATATCGAAGTAGTACGGTAGTAGACTGGTCAGTATTTTAAAGTTGTTCTAAAGAGAGTCAATTATTTAGGTATAATTATTGTATTGGCCTTATTCTTAGGTAAGGGTCGCCGTAACTTCGTAATTATATCTTTACTAAGCTTATTATATGGGCATCTAATACTACCTTCGTTAGATGCCCAAATAATAAAATAATAATTTAAACAATACATCAGATCTATTGCCTCAGCCTCCATTTAAAATCTTATGGTTTCGTTTCGTATAGGTAACAATGACTCCCAAGTTTATCTGATACCTACATATATCAACGGTATATATGTATAAACCTTTCATGCATAAATAGAAGACACACATCCGTAGGGCTACCACCCTTTGTAATATTACCTACCGGTTTTTGCTAGTCATTAAGGATCTATGTTAATTTATAAGTGACAATCGATTTGTATATTAGTATTACTCTAACAAATAAATGTTTTCATTAGAAAATGGAAAATGCGTTAATGCTATTCCCTATCTCTCTCTCTCCCCTCTACTCTTAAAAGCTCCAGGATTATAACTGTCTGGACATATTGATACACGTAATTCATTAAATTCAGTGCGAATTTTGACTTTTTGATATTTCGTTAGTGATAAGGACTGTGAAACTTCTGAGCTCGTCTAGTAGTCTGATTAAGGATTTGTTCAAAGAGATTTGTACACTCACCGAGCCATCACCATTTTCACACCGACAGCCCTTTTACGACAATATTATGAAATGTAATTATTCCTATACATCAGAAAATAAAACTAACGTTACTAACCAAGGAGTATTTTCACGTAGACCTTCAAAATTAAAAACCCCCTCAATAATGCTGAATCATTACTAGCACGATACACAAATCTACACGGGAAAAGAACCCTAAAATACATAATATCATCCTTAATAAATGAGCTCTCGAAATAAAAACTAAAAACTTCATTACAGAAAAAATGCAAATTTAAAACAATTCTTTCTACAAAATTAAATCAAAAATATTGTAATAAGATAAAATCAATATGTTTTATCGGTTGATATATTTATATTATAGGATTCATCACTAATTTAGTGATTAAAATTTTGACTGCACAGATGGCGTAGTGGTTTAATCGGTTGCCACGCCGCTTCCACTGCGCCGAGTGTTGTGGGTTCAAACCCCACATGGGACGAAACTTTGTGTGATCATCAAATTGTTGTTCTGAGTCTGGGTGTTCTTTGTGTCCGTTTCATGTATGTTTGTAAAGTCCCCCGCGACACAGGATATATTCCTAATGCGGGAGTTGTCTTTTAAAAAAAAAAAAAAAAAAACTAACGCGCCGTCGATTTGACCATTGCGCAATGCGTACACATTTTTGTATTGTGATGCCTTTTGTGTTAGTGATTTTGTTTTATGGTTTTTTTGCTTTTTGTAATATTTTGTGATGATGTAAAACATATAACGTTATTGATGTATGATAAAACTCGGAAGAGTCTATGTTGCATCATTATGTGCATGATTGGTATCTGTGTCAGCTAAACAAATAACTACTTAAAAAAAATGTTAGTAAGCAAATTGTCGTTTACAAACGTGTTACGGACTATATGCTGGATATTTAATAGACAGAGTCCAGGTGTCCAAGGTGGTATATGGTATCACAAATGTGATCATTTTTGCCTATTTATTGTACTGATTTTCAGAACTCACAACTCATTATTATGAGCTTACGTCTAACGTATTCGGCGAGTAGCAGCCCTGAATAAGTTACGCAGCCCCGGAACTGTGAGTGTAACGTGAGAATGGTGATGGAATGTATGTATACATTTCCACACCACTTATTTTATTTGACACTATTGCAATCAAATGGAAATTGTGGACGGATTGATTTTATCTGTAATTATATACAAAGCTAAGTACCTACAAATATTTGTATTTGTGTGGAGGAGGGGAGGCTGATTGTACGGCAAAAGGGGGGAGGGGGACTTTAAAGGCGGCAAGGCACTAGTGACTCTTGAGTTGCAGGAGTTTATTCGTGGGGTCGTCTACCTGTTGTTGTAGATGGCCCGAGGTATGTCGACCTGGTTCCCCGGCTATTAGTACCCAAGACGGCGTGCGGTTTTAGTCGGTTCGAGTCCGACATGCCACCGATAGGTAGTATCCGAGGGGATTTCATCATCATCAGCCTTTAATAGTCCAGTACTGGACATAGGCCTCCCCTTAGTACGGAGGTTTTGACCTACTATACCACGCTGTCCAGATGGGTTGGTATAGGGTTTGTTTCAAGTTTTCCTTCTCGGTAGTGCTGTTGTCCTGCGTAGTTTGCTCCCTTTGTCGGCTCTTACGACACAAACGAGATGAATAGGGTTGGTGATACTCCGTATTCTTAATCTGTACCACACGGACAATAAGTCTTTAAAGTTACTTCTTACCTATTTGAGACAAGACTAGGTATTGTAAGTTTAAAATTAGGACAACGATTATTTAATATGGCTACACTGAACAGAGCTTACCTAGGACCCATCAGAGCCGTCATGGTACCGGGTTTTGCGATGCCACTCACTAGAACAAACAATAAAATTTAATATTACAAAATAATTAACTTTTAATCATGAAAATAATTAACATATATAAATATGTATTAGCTATTACCCCTACCACCATTCGTTGTAGCATATTGTGGTTGTAAAAATGAGATAAAACCTTCTTTGAAGCGTGTTGTATAACGTAAAAATTTGAGCTCAATCGGTGAAGAACTTTTGAGGTTTTAAAGCGTACACAAACCAACTCAACATTTTTATTTTAATAGATTATACAAGTTATACTGGTACCTAATATACATACAGTATTTTTCTATTTATCTTCTACTTGACTCTACTTACTCTAAACTTTAAGGGTGTTTTATGGGAAGGATTTTTTCCCTTTTTAACGTGTAATTTTAAAGAATAAGTAAGTTTTTTTCCATTTCACTCTTGCACATTTTAGAATAGTCCTATACTAGTTTTATGATAGCTTAAAAGGCTTTGTGGTGTGATTACACACCAAAAAGCTCGTTCGTGTTCGTTACATTTTGTATACGATTAACATTAAAATCGTATACAAAATGTAACGAACACCTTATTCTGCAAATTTTTCAGTTTTAAGCAGTTCGATAAATAGACAATAAGTAATACACAAAAAAAGGATAAAAATAAATAATATTAAATAAGAAATTTCAGTCACAGACTAGTGCGTCTAAATCTTGATATTTTATCATTTGTTCGAGTTCTTTTTTTTTTCTTTACTTATACAGTCAAATTGAATTTTTTTGAAGTTAGTTAAACAGTAACAACTATTTCCTTTAGCTAAAATTAATGAATTTCTGCAGAAAAAATAATATTACCCACGTTTAATGAAAACAAAGACAACAAATATCTATTATACAAAATAAATTACACCAAAGTCTCAAATCAAGACTTCTATAACATCACTTTATGATTCATTCATTAAAATATATTCATAACTCTTCGTGTGGTGAAGGATTAAGAATACGGAGTGATCGGAGACCTCTGTTCATTCCATGGATGTCATAAGAGTCAGTTCGTTGTGCCGCACTTAATACTAGATGGCGCTGTCCACCAGACACAACACAAGAACCACTCAATTCAACAACAGTATATATACAACAACAACAGCAACAGTATATATTTCAATATAAATATACGTACAACTGAAGAAGAGCTATTTACGACTATAAGTAACTATTACTAATTATAAGTTACGCTCAAGAATTGTGCCAAAGATTTACTTACCACTATTAACTAATCTCTTTATTTTTCCATCTTTTAGTTTTGTATGTACTGTTACATCTGTCCACACAAGTGTGCAAGGCAGCTTTGTGCAAGTGGAACCGGGACCCAATACCTCTTCCAGCTCCGGGATCTGCTGGTCGAACATTGAGTCCTTTTCACTCTTGGTGTTAGTTGAGAACATTTCCTACAAATAATAAGTTAATTATATTGAAAAAAACAAACTTGACAAGTAAATAAAAAAATTAAAATAAAATAAACTTTATTCTGTAAGAAAACATAAGTGAACTGTTTTAATATCAATTTTGTAAATTATTACGTGTTGACACAAATATTTTGTGTTTTCAGCATTTCTTGTTCGAAATGAGATTTAAATATATATGTATTTCGGATATCTCCAAAATACTTGCATATATTTTTAAACGAACCGACTAGAATAACGTCAAAACCTGGCTAATTTAACAACTTTGATTTAAATTAACATCAGATACATCAGAGTGTAGTATACATACAAACACACTCGAAAAACATACCCCTTTTGACGAAGGTGGGACGAAATATACACGATGTAGATTCATGTAAAAAATCACCAATAAAAAGAAACCCTAACACTGTTAAGGTGCCAATTGCTGCTATAATGTAGTTAGTGATCTTCGTTGAAAAATAGTCCCCCATATCCGGTTACAATAAAAGTACTGTAAGCACTCGTAAGTGATTCTATCATTATTCCAGCCATAGAAGATCCTTTTCAAACGCCAACTGTCGACGTTCAACCTCAATTATTTCTAAGACGTGGTGTGTTAATATGGTGTTTGATCTAAAGTTCACGTGGCATAGCTAGGAAGTGGTAATGGGCCTGCGCCCACGTTAAAGGAGCCACGCGATGCCCAAAGATTTTACCACAAATTACTAATTAATTTGATCACATTTACGCTTGAAGTGTGTTTGTTTCGGTAAGAAGCCCGATCTTAAGTGCGACTGCGAGGTCATTGCAACTACCTTTAAAGACTGCGACTATTAGATTGACGGAAAAAGAGACTTTTCAGGTATTAATTTTCTTATACATAGATATTTTAAAGACAACATATTACTTATGTATATTGGTACCGAGGAGATTTCCCTAGTGGCTGTTTGCGGAACTAACGTATGACAGATACTTTCACCTAGCTGTGTAATAAAAAGAGCCGGTTTATTGTTTTTTTAAATTATTTATACAAAATTTTGCTATGATTTCACTGTTAGACATCCACGAAGTGGTAAAAAATACCAAAAGACCACTCCGTGAGGGTGAACAGTATTTTAAAAGTGGAATGTTAATGTGTGTTGGCTTAGCTGCACAAACTTCTGGTGTACTTGATTATCCACATGAAGTGGAATGTAATTTGGACACATCAAAACCGGAAGGTCAGCGTATAATCGATGTGAAATGTAAATGTCCAGCTGGAAACTCTGGTCAATGTAAACATAGTGTTGCATTGCTTCTGTTTTTAAACAGGTTAGTATCAGCCTTAACCTATCAACTCGTATATAATTTGATGAAGGTTTTCCTAATCTAAGAACACTTTCCCAACGTTTTCTCAACTTGTCATCAGTAGGAAAAATATGAAAACTTAAACCCTCTTTATTATAATTATTACATTGAGGAACACAACAGTAAGTATTTCCTTTTTTTTATTATTCTTTGTATCCATCTTAACACTTAAATTATCGTAATCGATCGCACAATTTTTTTGACATTCTTGAAAATTATGAAACAATTATGAACAAAACGGTATATTCTACGTATATTCGTATTTCTATCTGTCATACATTCGTTCTGCGACTTGCCACTAGGGGAATCTGCTCATCGCCAATAGATATATTTTCTTATATACTCAACAAATGAGTTTTTAAATGAAAAATTTGATTCAAATTATAAATTAGACGACGACTTGCCTTTATATTCTCAATAATTTAATTCAATTTAATATCTATAACATTGCTTTGAATATTTTTTACAATATATTTTATAATCCTCAACTTCAACTTTTGGTTAATGGCTTTGTGGTTTATAATCCTCAAGAACATATATTGAATAATTCTTGACATTTTATTTAATCTTTTTTTGACATTGTATTTACTAATCCTTCCTGGAAGTACGCTGGAAACAGCAGAATATTATGGATGTCATATTATGTCTAACACCTATATCTCAACAATGTTCTGACAAATAAATATATTATTGTATTATTATTATTGTAATCTTAATTTTTCTCAGCTCAAGGCTGGTTTCAACTGTATTTACGGGCCAAAACCAAGTAAATACAGTGAGGTGTGTGTCTTTGTTATGTAGATGTAGATGGTGGTTGCTGTGTGTGTTGTGCTGTTCCGTTCTCTTCAATATCCATGAACTTTCTGACTGTTCGGCAAGTGTTCTTATTATTATTATAAATATTTTATTATTATTTTATAGGTAAACTAAATATATAAAATATAAACTTTCCATCAGTGCCTGTTGGTGAGTGATTTGCCGTATTTCGAGCCCGTCCTGAACCTCCCCGCTACCGCGGTTAGCATTTGTTTGGTCATAGACCCTTGTGTCCGTATCCGCCAGGACATCCATAGGCACCAAAAGTGCCAGGACTGACACCATGCACCTCCGACAAGATTGTGCGGTATTCTCGTACGATCCGAATACCCGCTACCCTCTGCGCTTGATTGAGCTGAGTTCGGCAGTCGGAGGAGGCCGATAGGCACTTAGCCCATATCGGCGCTTCGTAGAGGGCCCTGGATCGTATCACCGCACAGTATAGGATCTTTTTTTCTTTTTTCGTGCGGAAATCCCCTCGGATACCACCCACCAGTAGGATTGCTATGTCGGACGCGAACCGACCAAAAACCGCACGCCGTCTCGGGTACTAGTAGCCGGGGAACCCGGTGTACCCTAGAAAGGAAATCCTAGAAACCCCGACGAACCCCGATGTTGACTCAGGACTTAGGATCTTCTGCTTCCCCGATGATGTGGGATCCATCTCCGAGTCCCGCTGCGAACCTTGTCGCTCTTCAGCTACACCCTCTGTCTCCGTCGACGACTTAGGGGCAGAAGGCCGACCCCCCGGCTCCAGGTCTGACCCGGTGCAGGCCTTAGGGGAGAGTGGGGGAATCACGGACGCGGGGTAATCGCGGATACGTTCGTTTGGCTATGTTATAAAAGGATAGAAGATATTCCGAGTAATGCAATCGTGAGTCGATCCCGAACGTAGTGCCGAACAAAGAGTGGTGAAGCAACAACGCACTCGGTGTAAAAGGTATGTTAACTTTTTGTTTTTTCAACAATTTCATATAATTTTTGAGTAAACTTGAATAGATATATAATATTTTAGGTGTAACATAGAAATTCGGTATTTTTTTTATGTATTAACGTCCTAATTCAAGAATGTTTCTAAGGACTTGCCGCGTGTATCACGCGATTCTAACCTAAAAGAAAAAAATAATTTTGTGATAACGTGTCTGTTGGGTAATTACGGACGATTTCAGTGGGGTAACCCCGACCGTTCGTAATTACCCCTGAACAATTAAATTATTGTTTTTTATTTTATAATTTATGTCCAGCAGTCTGCAGCATGATAATAATGATGAATTTTGATGAAATACATTTGAGGAAGTTTGTTTTTATGTTTCTCTGCTTTCAGCACTGTACCCTCACGAGCTTATTTATACCTACTCAAATATGTTTCAGATGCCACGAAATTACCAAAGAAAGACGGAGACCAAATACAAATTAGAAGACTTAGAAAGAGCCATTCGGGTTGTTAAGAACAAAAAACTTTCACTAGGAAAAGCAGTTTGGCCAATAGATCCAAATAAATTTGATAAACATTTTGTAGATGCATCATTACCACCTGAAAATTCCATTGTCAATTTTCAAGCTGACAAAGCGTTGACACTTGATGTGCAGATAGCATCAACATCAAATGGCGAAGAAAGAGTAAAACCTGATTCACATATAGTATCGACATTAAATTATGTGCAGCAGAAACCAGTAACCTCTGAAGCTGTGTTAGACAATTCTATCCCACTTGAAGATATTGTTAATGTTCCCAAAATGCCACAACTAAAAAATAAACGAACTTTCAGAAAAAAAACATTCAGCTATAATAACCAGTAGTCATATGAAAAATATTTTATAGATATTAATAAATATTAATAAATATTTCATAGAAAAAGAAGAAAGAAAGAAAAATATGGAGTACTTGAAAGGAAGGGAAAAGGCTGCTAGTTCCACTAAAGATTCCAAGAAAGGTGTGAAGAATCGTCAAGCATTTGCAGATACTGATATTAAGATAAAGGTTCAAGAAAAGGACGTACTGCGTAAGAAAAAGAAAACCAAAGAAAGAGATGCGAAAGAAAATGAGTATTTTTGCTTAGTTTGTGATGAAAAATATCAAGATCCTCCACATGAAAATTGGATAAAATGCTACAAATGTAATTTATGGGCCCATGAAAAGTGTACGAGTGGTGAAAGTTCATCAAAAGGATTTATATGTGATTTGTGTGATGATTAGATTATGTCCGTGATTACCCCACACACCGTTCGTAATTACCCCCCGTGTTGTGGGGTAATCCCGAACCCCATAGTTTTGTTTTCTTATTAATATTCGTTTCTGTATTGAAAGTTTATCTATGTTGCTTATCAGAACTTAAGGTTCATTAGTTAAAGTAAATGTTAAGTAATAAATGACATTCGTAACTTAATCTGGTTTTGTTTAATTTCAATTTCCCCTTAAGTGTTCGCAATTACCCCACTCTCCCCTACTGTCAACCCGGTGGTCCCCCGGTGCGCACCTAAAGCAACGCAGCGGAGCATTGCAAGAACCCGCCTTGTGACCGGGCTGCCCACAGAGAAAGCAAAGGTCGCCTACGGTGACTTTTGTCGTGCACTGAATATATGACCCACCGATAGGCACCGGAAGCACCTTGCCGGCCGGGCATGCAAGAGTCGTGCTTGCGCCTTCACGAAACCTCCAACCAGGAGAATTTTTTGGGCCACCGCGATTGGGTAACTGATAACCGCTGCCCCCTGTCTTGGTTAGACAGCAGCCTCTGTAGGGACCCGCCACCCCGAGATCTCGACGTATAATCTCTAATAAATGAGGTTCCCTTAAACATTCTTCGTCGTCTTGATCCATATGCGATATGCACCTGTCGTGACAATAAGCCCTGAAGATGTCCTGCAGGTAGGGGAGCAACTGGTGATACACCAATGCCTTCCTTATCACCCATCACGCAAAAACCTTTTTTATCTATATGCTTTCTAATACTCTGCTATGGCACTTTTTTTTCACTATCATGAGTAGGTATGTCGTGTCAAAGTATGTTTGGTAAAATAGATGTATTGGGCACCTATGTCGAACCTATTGGGAACGAAAGGACGGGGCCTCGCTGAAGCGACTTCGCCCACGTCTAAATTAGTCCACGCTACGCCTCTGTAGAGTCCCAACAAAATTAAACAAAGTTATAAAAGTTTTTAGAAAAAAATAAAGATTATAAAGTTAAATAAATAATAAATTCAAAAACGATCAAGGACCATTTTCATTTAATTTATTAAGTTACCTACTCGTATTTAATTAATTAGCTTAACATATCATTGAATTTGTAATTTTATGATTTTATTACACAGATAAACTATATAATACACATTAGACACGTAATGATTTGTTCTATATTTTGTTTGTTTTTTATTGGAACGAATGAAAGTAAATTTTGAAAATATGGTACCTAGTGTTTTGGGCGAACTTACAATCAAATCAATTTATTTTAATTATGATAATAATTAAAATCAATCAATTAACAAGTTATGATCATTATTATTATTATAATCATAACTTGTTTTTTTTTTCATTGTAAAACTGACGTTTTTTTAAAGGTATTATGTCTCGGTAACTTGTATAACGCTAAGGTCAAATCTTGCTAACGTCTTTAGTTGCGCAACTATGTGTAAGGCATGGAATCGATTTATGCTTCCTGTGGTTGACATACCTACGTGTTGTCATATCTTTGAGTAGAAGACCTATTAGAGGAGATTCAAACTGGTAAAATATACCTTATATGTGGTTAAGAATGGTCGACTTTCTATTTCGTTTCTATTCTATTTTGGACTACCGTGTGGTGACGGATTAAGAATACGGAATGTACCTCCACCCCTATTCATCTCGTTTGTGTCGTAAGAGCCGACAAAGGGAACAAACTACATAGGACCACAGCACTGCAAAGAGAAGGAAAACAACCCGTCTGGCCAGCGTGGTATAGTAGGCTAAACCCTGCTTTCTAAGGAGAGGCCTATGTCCAGCAGTGGACTAGTAAAGGTTGGGTTGGAAGTAAAGTATACTGCCAAAGCTAGTTTTTAACTAGTCGAATTCGTCAAAAAGATAATATTGTTGCTGGATTTACCTACTAATTTATTCGTAAAAGTATTGTATGACACGTGTTCACACGTGTAACTGAATTCACATATTACCGTAACTATTTGATACCGTGCCCTAAGTATTTCATGACACGTGTTCACACGTGTAACTGAATTCACATATTACCGTAACTATTTGATACCGTGCCCTAAGTATTAGGTGGGACGTTCTGACCTCCTAACCGAAATCATTGTTAAAAAGATGTTTAACTTTTTTTAAATTTGCAACGGAATGCATTTGATTGTGGTTGGCAATAGATTTTTTTAAGCTATTCTATGTTACTAGACTACTTCATAGCAAATGAATATTTTAAACACAAATGTGTAACTTACCTATTTTTTATTATTTTCATTATTCTCAAATTTCTAGATAGCATGTTTTCTAGAATTCATGATGTGTGCTAGAAGGGAAATCACGTTGAAATAATAAGCCTTTAAACGTATAGGCTTAAGTTTCACGTTTTATTTGACTGGAATTATCTTTTATATTTGATTGGACTATTTTTACTTTACTACGTTATCATTTATGTTTTATTTTCGTGTTTTAACAAGCAACGTAATTCATTCTATCTCCTCATGTTTGTTCAATATGTACATATGATTTAAATCTTTGGCTTTTGGTATAAAACAATTTATCAAAAGCCATTTAAATTATTTACCGAAATATGAATATACTTTTTTTTATTAATATGCGCCTGCAATTTTTGTCAACAAAAAATAATAACCACAAATATATTGCTACACAAATTAGCATTAAAGAAAAACTAATAATAACTAACTAATAACTTTAAAAAAAAATTGACAACATAAAATAATACAGACTTAAATAAAACAAAATAATAAATTCTAATATGGAACATGTTGACTGCAACAGTCGGGACGACCTATTATTAGTATTTATTATTTGTTTTATTTTATGTGTGTATTGATAATGAAGTTATTTTAATGTTCTAGTAATTAAATTGCTTTCTACACTTCTGGACTGAACTTGTTTTTTCTTTTCAGTTTTTATTTAAAGTTATTTAGTTAGTTATTTTTTACGCAGTCAGGTTTTTTTATTTTCAAATTTATTTATTTTTGTAATAAAATCTCAACCTAATATAAACAGTTACTGTAACCAAAGTATAAAATATCGAAATACGTAAATTAATGTTAAGAGTGTTTGTAGAACTATAGATTATTTTAGACACGTTGATAAAGCAGTTAAATCTTATAGTTTAGTCTGAATATCTGCATATAAGTAAAAAGAAACATATAGTTCCGGATAATGCAACTTCCTACTGGAAAAATACCGATGAATAACCCCTGATATTAAGTGGCTACATCTAAACACAAAACCAGTACCGGATTACATACAATTACACATCTTATTCAGTATAAATGAATGATATATGTATGTTAAAATTTACACAACTCTCGGACACGAAACCGGTGTAGATAGAAAAATGTTGCATATGGAATTAATTTAATATGTTCTTGTCTAACATTTCATATCGCGCACAGATAATACAAAATATTGAACTCATTTTTAGAACTGTTGTTAACACGATTAGTTATAAAATTATTTTTAAGCATTATACGTAATTTTTCACACATTTAATTACAAAGACACAAAACATGATGAATGAAATTTCCGCTTACGAATGCAATGCTTGTCTTCTTCATTAATTTTGCCTTTCCGACGCTCGAGGTACCACTTGATACTGTTGCACAACGTTGTAAATTAAAAAAAAATGTTTTACTAAATTTGAATTTGGAATAGGATTCTTCGTATTGAGTCCGCGTTCATTTTACCGATTGTTGCTACAATTTTGGCGGCAACATCGCGCGTCTATTCATCGTGCACCGCGATGATAGTTTGAGTTTGGTATCACTTAAGCTCGATAGAAAAGGATGGATGCTTTGAATACGATTTCATTAACGACAGAACTAAAATGAAGGCGACCCTTACCCATGTTTTAAACGTATGCTGTAAAACGGGTCAGATAGCATTCTTTCTTCTAAATGAAGTCATTAAGTACTTTTTGAAAGATAATGCAAATTTGACATACTGTTAATAAAATTGTTTGAATTGCATAACAAGTAAAACAATTAAAAAATGATGATGTTATTTCCTTTTTTAACACTGTTTGAGTTCTAAAATATTAAATTAGTGTATAACGCGATTTGCTATAGAGATCGTTTCTAATAGTTGTTACACAACCAAATTTAAGTTATTATTATTATATTTTGGTTCACTATAAAATATCAATGAAATTTTTACAAACCAAAAAGTACCTACTTAAATTATAGTTTTAATTCACTTAACACGTGGAACTCATTACAAATATGTGGAACTTATGTATTTGGCAAGTAATACTAAACTATGATCTCTATTTTAGGAAAAGAAGTATTGCAATTCAAATCAGTGAAATCCTTTGTATCATTATTTCAGACATAGATTATATTTTTAGTAAAATAAAAGAAAACACAACGGAACTCTTCAGAAAATGAAAACAAGTCAATCGCGATTGCTGCTAGGCTTTTAGTGCTCTTTGTTATTATTGTTTGAAGTCGGTTTAACTTTTTTTAAAGGATTTATCTTGTTCACTCAACTATGCTGTCTCTACTGCCCACATTACAACATACAAAAGTATATCGAACTTCAAATATTGCTGGATAAGTCCCGGAATATTTCTATACAAATTATAAGTTACGACATTTCTTGTCGGAAGAGAGAGAACGGAAATGATAAGCAAAATAGCTATAGAATGTAAACATTTTTAAACACACACAACCTACCACTTAAGAAAAAAAAACTACTTAGACTATTTTGGGCTGTATTTTATTTATATATTGATTAAAAGATACGGATCAAAAGGCGCTAGTAACTCGGCTGTAACTCTTTAGCTACAGGCGTACATGGGCGGCGGCTTACCATCAGGAAGGGTTAGGTCCGGTGACTAGTCTGCTTCGGCCCAGCACACGCTGGCGGTTTGCCCCGCATGGGCGACGCAGCGCCGGGCCCTCACTGCAGTCATCGGAGCAGATCTCTCGTAATTCGTAATTCGCTCCATGGCCGGTAGCGACAGTTGTTTTACCGCGGTCGCAACCTTCTGCGAGGAGGTAATCTCGCAGAAGGAGGCGGCGGAGAAGGCCCGGGAGGACGACCTCCACTCGGACCTGATCCGCCGCCGGCGAACCGGGCGGCGGAGGCGCGCTCACCTACGCCTCATGCCGCCCTGAGTGTGGCCGCGGGTGGACGGGATGGGTTCTCCCCTCCACCCGCATTAGTTTGGCCAGCCGCGAGGGGGCGGCGTCCGCGTGTGCCGGACGCCGCCTAAAGAGAGGTCAATTTGAGACGGAGCCCGCACCAGGAGCGGGCCGGCGCTGGGAGGGGTCCAGAAGGAGATAGCTACCTGGACCCCTCCTAAACTGGAAGCGCAAAGAGGGCACACCGTGTGGTTTTAGTCGGTTCGAGTCCGACACACCGCCCCGCCGAACGAGAGCCCCGGCGGGGTGACGGTCCGAGGGGATTTCCACACGAAAAAAAAAAAAAAAAGGTGACTAGTCTGCTTTCCAGGAGGCGGCGCGCCTGGCCGCCACGGGAGTTTCCCAGGTGGTCGGGCGCATTGAGGCGTTGGGATTATGGGTTGCCCTGGATAAGACGGAGGCCCTATTATTTTATGGGCCCCGTCGTGGTCCACCCGCCGGCGCCTCAATCGAGGTCGGCTCAGTCCTCGTACCGGTCCGGGCCCAGATGAGGTACCTGGGTCTGGTCCTAGACGGTAGGTGGCTCTTCGATGAGCACTTCCGACAGCTTGGTCCGAAGCTGGTGGACACTGCCTCCGCCCTAGGGCGACTTTTGCCCAATTTGGGCGGGGCCAGTGTTCCCACGAGGCGGCTGTACGCGGGGGTTGTCCGGTCCATGGCGCTTTATGGTGCACCGGTGTGGGTGGCGGCTCTGACCGCCCCGAATAGGGCGCGCCTCTGGCGCCCCCAGAGGATATTGGCGGTCAGAGCCATACGCGGATACCGCACGGTGTCCACCGAGGCGGCTTGCGCCTTGGCCGGAACACCCCGTTTGATTTGGAGACGGAAGTGCTCGCCGAAGTTTATCGGCGAGTGGCTGACTTCCGGGCGGAGAGCGGATTTCGCCCTCCGCCCGAAGACGTGCGCGAGTGGCGCGTAGCCGCTCGCCGAGCCACCATAGTCAGATGGTCGTTCCGGCTGGAGACTCCACGCGCTGGCTTCGCCGCCGTGGAGGCTCTCCAGCCGGTCATCGCCGAGTGGGCAGGGCGGCAGCACGGGACCCTTTCCTTCCGGCTGACGCAGGTGCACACCGCCCCGCCGAACGAGAGCCCCGGCGGGGTGACGGTCCGAGGGGATTTCCACACGTAAAAAAAAAAAAAAAAAGGTGACTGGTCTGCTCGTTCGCTGTCTTATCACAATACATTAAAAAATATTAAAGAAAAGCATTTGTTTCTTTATAAATTAGGTACCAAGTTAATAAAACAACACTGTTATCTAAAATATTATGCATTCGAAAATGTAAAAGATACTACAATTGATTTAATACATTACACTGGTTAAGGTTGATATTTTTATTCATAATTTTTTTCGTGTGCCGTTTGGTGACAGATTAAGAGTACGGAGTGTCACCACCCTTATTCATCTCGTGGCTGTCGTAAGAGGTGACTATGGGAGCACACTGAGAGGAAGGAAATATTGACACAAATCCTATACTGCCCTACACCATCCCGTCTGGCCAGCGTGGCATAGTAGGCCAACACCTCCTTTCTAAGGAGATGCCTATGTTCATAAGTGGATTATTAAAGGTTGTTGATGATGATGATGATGTTTTTTTTCCTGAGAATTTTTAATAATCTATTACACTTTTAATCAGTCCGTACACTGGAAATTGGGGCAGTTGATCAGACACCATTTTGTAAGTCACAGCACTCACGGCATACCTTTCGAGGATGATTTTTAGAATGATTATTAGTCTTCAATCAAACTAAAATGTTGGTTTTGGTTAAACGTTTAATAAAAATTACGTTTTCTTTTTTGCATTATTTACGTGTGCATTACAAAATTGTATTTTTTATATCACAAAATCTCCGAGGCGTTTTACAAATGAAGTTCATAATAATATTTATAAAACTAAAAATCTTTTACTTTTAACAAATAATATCGTTTCAATATCATTTATTTCAAATAATTAACATTTTAAAGAATACAAAGACACATACAATAAGAGAGAGAGAGGAGAGGCCCATATCCAGCAGTGGACAGCGATAGGCTGATGATGATACAATAAAAAATTGTATGAAACAATAAAAACATGGAGAAAATAACATAGTAAACATTGTAATCCAGTAAGACGGTTTAGTAAATAACTATATTATTCGTAGGTAATTAAGTTTAACTATAGATTAATGTAACCTCGTCCCCCGGATCGCCCTTGAACTAGGCCCTACCCGAGAAGACCCAGAGGCCATTCTCCGCCTATCACTAAGTGTTGCGGCCAGATCGCATTTTGGTGCAATCAGGCTGCCAACATGGGAACATCGCAGTAATTTATCTGCAACCAGAGGTCCCCACTCGGCCCACTCTCTGGCGGTTAGCGTAACTATTGGCGGCTCATGCCGCCGCCGACGTCGTCTACGCTCAGTATGGTGTTAATCGCACGGCTACTGGAATTACATCAAAAATACTTACCGGTTACTTGCTAGTAAGAAGTCAACGACCTGACGGACGTCTCAGATTGCTGCTGATGATTTATTTATTTAAGCAATATTACATTATTTTAATCTAAATTTCATCATCATCATCATCAGGCCTCTCCTTAGAAAGAAGGTTTTGGGCCTACTATACCACGCTTGTCAGACGGGTTGGTACAGGGTTTGTTTCAAGTTTTTCTTCTCTTTGCAGTGCTGTTGTCCTGCGCAGTTTGCTCCCTTAGTCGTCTCTTACGTCACCCACAGGATGAACAGGGGTGGTGACACTCCGTATTCTTAATCCGTCACCACACGGACTAAATTAAATAGACAAAAATTAAAAGACAAAATAAAATAATAAAGTAACAATTTAAATTATAAAATAATTTGAATTTTATCTTTGAAAATCTTAAATTACTAGAATGTCAAAGTAAAAATATTAAATATACTAAATTGTTATTTTATTTCATAATGATGATAACAATCTTTTTCTTCCTCATCCTTCACTAATATTAAAATCAATAGATGCTTAGCTACCAAAACATTACCCTGGTAAGATAGGTAGGTACGATGGCAGGGTAAGGTCTTTGCAACCAACGACAAAGGCACACAGTAGTTTTGAAGACGCGTTCGAAAATATTGGACTAGTGTTTCACGCAGATACGATTATAATACAATTTGTTGTTATGTATTTACAATAGCCAGTTGTTTTTCAAAGGAGGACTGAGAATCTAATTGATCAACAGCTAGTGTGTCTTTATTACATCCTGGCCCCGTCTGTTATCAGTACATATGGAAATGATCAGCGCCGGTAAGGGACGTATTATATGTGTGTATGGTGTATTTTTGTGATATATGCTCTTATGAAAGGTATATTTTTTTTACAAGATTAATATGTTAATCTTGACATATATTTAATATTGGAACATTGTTATTACTTGCTGGTATTCAAATTAAATTAGATCA